AAATTAATCATATTCACATTACTAATATATACACAATGTTGACATTTCCAGGCTTGAGAAGGGGGAAAAGTAAATCACAATTCCCTGACATTTCCAGATTTTCCATGACATCATAAACCTGTTGCCAAGGCCTTACATTCCCAGTAGCTTTTCCTGTGATTTCCTCAACTTCCACTGAACAAATCCGAAATCTCTTTAATCCTCTACACCTTTAAAAGTACCTCAAAAGTCTTATCACTTCAGAGTAGCAACAGTTTCTACTGTTCTGATGCCAGCAGCAGATCTGAATGAATGGCGAAAGAAAGTAGTTCCTCATACAAAAGGATTTTTTGACTCTACTTGTTTGATTTTATTTTTTTATATACAAGATTATGCCCTTTGAACTGTTATATAAACGAAATATCACACCCATAGCAGTGCGCTTTGGCTGTATATCATCACTGGTGGTACACTAAGGCACACCTTCAGACAGTGTCGATATACAGCCATATCGCACTGTTACTCGTGTGATATTGCTTACACAGTATATATAGAAATATGTATTTATTTTGGTTATTTTTTATTTATCGGCACAATTTTTTATTATTATTTTGGATTTTCATTATTACTTGATCATTTTTTATCTAGAATAGCGTTTCAAAAATGTATGTTATGATATTGCCTATTACTTTAGCAACAGGAAAATGTGCTGAAATAACAATAATTTATTTGTTTATTACAGATAATCTTAATGAATTTTCACCATACAGCACTCTCCAAGTTGATTTTTATCAGCACTAGTAATTTATTACTCCTTTATTTCATGACACAGGTTTTTATTATTATTATTATCTGTACAGAAACTAAAAATAGCATTAACACAATCCATAAAGTAGCACAAATGTGCAGTTAATAATGGAAAAGGCTAAATTAATCATATTTACATTACTAATATATACACAATGTTGACATTTCCAGGCTTGAGAAGGGGGAAAAGTAAATCACAATTCCCTGACATTTTCAGATTTTCCATGACATCATAAACCTGTTGCCAAGGCCTTACATTCCCAGTAGCTTTTCCTGTGATTTCATCAACTTCCACTGAACAAATCCGAAATCTCTTTAATCCTCTACACCTTTAAAAGTACCTCAAAAGTCTTATCACTTCAGAGTAGCAACAGTTTCTACTGTTCTGATGCCAGCAGCAGATCTGAATGAATGGCGAAAGAAAGTAGTTCCTCATACAAAAGGATTTTTTGACTCTACTTGTTTGATTTTATTTTTTTATATACAAGATTATGCCCTTTGAACTGTTATATAAACGAAATATCACACCCATAGCAGTGCGTTATGGCTGTATATCATCACTGGTGGGACACTAAGCCACACCTTCCAACAGTGTCGATATACAGCCATATCGCACTGTTACTCGTGTGATATTGCTTACACAGTATATATAGAAATATGTATTTATTTTGGTTATTTTTTATTTATCGGCTCAATTTTTTATTATTATTTTGGATTTTCATTATTACTTGATCATTTTTTATCTAGAATAGGGTTTCAAAAATGTATGTTATGATATTGCCTATTACTTTAGCAACAGAAAAATGTGCTGAAATAACAATAGATTATTTGTTTATTACAGATAATCTTAATGAATTTTCACCATACTGCACACTCCAAGTTGATTTTTAACAGCACTAGTAATTTATTACTCCTTTATTTCATGACACAGGTTTTTATTATTATTATTATTATTATTATTATTATCTGTACAGAAACTAAAAATAGCATTAACACAATCCATAAAGTAGCACAAATGTGCAGTTAATAATGGAAAAGGCTAAATTAATCATATTTACATTACTAATATATACACAATGTTGACATTTCCAGGCTTGAGAAGGGGGAAAAGTAAATCACAATTCCCTGACATTTCCAGATTTTCCATGACATCATAAACCTGTTGCCAAGGCCTTACATTCCCAGTAGCTTTTCCTGTGATTTCATCAACTTCCACTGAACAAATCCGAAATCTCTTTAATCCTCTACACCTTTAAAAGTACCTCAAAAGTCTTATCAATTCAAATGCTAGTAAGCTAACGCTGGCATCACGACTGAGATTACAACCTTTAAAGTCACCTCACCATTCCTCCACCACTCGGAAACAAACCACAAATCAAAAAATATTTCCAATATCGTGCCTACATTTCATAACAAATACACGTAATATAATAATAAACCATTAAACTAGCAGCTCTAGCAAACATAACAACTGTAAGAATTCAGCTCAAGCAGAAAGTTGTGATGATCAACAGATGATGAAACACTGTATCCGTTATATAAACAACTCGAATGTTCGGGCTGTTACATTAAAACGCGTGAGGTAAATGTTAATAATACTAACAATAATAATATATATAAATGCAGTCTGAAACCTACCGCAAGCGCTCGTCTTCACAAACCCACAGAACGCATGTGCTTTGAGGTTCATCCTGAAGAAAGTCAGTGTAGAAAACACCCACATACAGACGTCTTGGGGAGTCTGTGGTCTGCCCAGCACGCGTGTGCTTGGAGTTGCATAGAAATCAGCTGAAGTTGATGGGTTGTTGGTAGTTGGTGCACGTAGACCACCGCCGATGGAGGTTTTTCTGGGGTTTGTGATCACTGACCACCCTGAGGGCGGGGCGAGACATCATGTTTTGGGTGGGTGTCAATGTGGAGGGGGTCAGAAAGGATGGGAATGGGAAAAATCGAAGTTGCGATGTATTGTTTTACAGTTAACGAGATTTACGTTGAATGCAAGTTATTGATTGTTTTGATGATGGTTGAGAACTCGTAGCCCTTGATTGTGTGCCTAAATTGATGTATTGCATTATTCTTTTGGCTAAATAGCAATGACTTAAACGTATTGCAATTAAATAAATATCAACTAAATATGCATTGGAATATTCACGACCATGTGCTATTTTGAGGTATTGAGTGTCGAGTAATATGGCGTACACTTAATTTAATCAATTAATATCATTTGACTTTAAATGCATATCTTTTTAGGTCTTTTGCGCCACTTGCTGGACAAGAAAGAACTTATTGCACTGTTCTGCAAATAGTAATCCTCTCATGTAACCTATTGCAATGAAATATAACAATAAATATGCATAGGAATATCCATGATCACGTTGTCATGTTAAGTCGACATATTAAAAGTAAATTGGTGTACACTGAATTTAAACAACATTTGTCTTTAAATATGTTAGACATAAAGTGCTATGTGAAATGTTTTGCAGTTAATGAGATTTACGTTTAATGCAAGTTATTGATTGTTTTGATGATGGTTGAGAGCACTTAGCCCTTCATTTTGTCCCTAAATTCACTTATTGCACTATTATTTTTTTTTTTGCATGTAAATAATAAGCACTTAAAAGAAGCATATTGCTACTAAATAAATATGCATAAGAATATGCATGTCCATATTTTATTTTGAAGTATCAAGAATGCCGAGTAATATGGCGTACACTTAATTTAATCAATTAATATCAATTGTCTTTAAATGCATGACTTTTTAGGTAAATTTTGCCACCAACTGGACAAGAAAGAAATTATTGCACTATTCTGCAAATAATAATCCCCTAATGCAACCTATTGCAATGAAATTTAACAATAAATATGCATAAGAATATCCATGATCACATGTTAATTCGACATATTAAAAGTAAATAAATGTACACTGAATTTAAACAATATCATTTGTCTTTAAATATATTAGATATAATGTGCTATGTGAAATGTTTTGAAGTTAATAAGATTTACTTTTATGGCAAGTTATTGATTGTTTTGATGATGGTTGAGAACACTTAGCCTTTGATTGTGTCCCTAAATTGACTCATTGCATTATTATTAATTTTGCATGTAAATAATAAGCACTTAAATTAAGCATATTGCTACTAAATAAATATGCATTAGAATATGCATGACCATATTTTATTTTGACGTATCAGGAATGCCGAGTGATGTGGCGTACACTTAATTTAATTGATTAATAGCATTTGACTTTAAATGCATGACTTTTTAGGTCAATTGCGCCACCTACTGGACAATAAAGGATTTATTGCACTATTCTGCAAATAATGTAACCTATTGCAATGAATAACAATAAACATGCATAATGATATACATAATCACATGTAAATTACACATATTAAGTAAAATTGGCATACACTGAATTTAAACAACAGCATTTGTTTTAAATGCGTTAGATATAAAGTGTATTGTGAAATGTTTTGCAGTTAATAAGATTTACTTTGAATGCAGATTATTGATTGTCTTGATGATAGTTGAGAACACTAATGAGTATTTGATTGTGTCTCTAAATTGCCTTAATGCGTTATTCTTTTTTTGCATGTAAATAATAATCACTTAAATAATGTAGACTTTTTTTAAAATTGATAAACAGGGGAGTACAAAATTATACATAAAACAGTAAACAACGGAATTAATAACAAATAATTAATCATGTACATTGAGTATTTATTCCAGGAGTTGGGATGTCCTAATAGCTTTGGTATTACTCTGTATAGAAGTCAGGGAATCATAAAAAAATAAGATCAATGAAAAAATAGTTTACAATTTAGTACAGTCAGCATACATTTTGTTTTGTGAATGTGGTACTTTCCAAAAAAATAAAGATAATTTTTTTATTTCATATTTATATATTTTCCAATTTTTTTTTGTCCATTTCCAATAATCCAGAGTTGCGATCCATAAATAAAACCGTTTCATCAGTTATGGTGATCAATTTATGATGTGGACATACAACACTGTAACATTCCGACTGAGTTTAATTGATTTCTAATTGGATAGGTTTTAATTGTTTAATTATTTTTTAGATAAATAGATAAGTATGGCGCATATAACTTTTTACATATACACCTAAACAATCTGAACAAAACTAAATTACAACTCCGACCTTTTAATATGCAATTACTTGACTTTTATTTTGAAAACACGGACCAACTTCTAACTTCCGCCGTCGTTTGCTGCAGCGGAGTGATTTCTTGTATTTTTCTTTCATTCGTTCAAACATGGCTTTTCAGTGTCAGAGGGACTGTTATATGCGGGAGGTGCGTGTCTTTCTTCATTTTATAACATTTAAATGTTTGCTTACGCAGTGAGTAATGAGCATTATCTGAATATACGAATGTCTATGTAAGGTTACTGTATTTTCAATGACAGCAAATGACCAGCACTGACAGCTGCACACAATATACTTTCTTGTATGAACCATGACACATTACACATAATTCTGATATTTTAAAATGTGATATTGACTTTGAGTTAAAAAAAAAAGGTATTTCACCCCCAAAATGTGATTTACTCAATCTAAAGTAAAAAAAAAAATACATTCAAGTTTATTAAGATAAGTAATTGATGAAAGGAATTTCAACTGTGGATGAATTATTCCTTTAAGTTACTTTTTACAGATGTATTTGTAATATGACTATTTATTAAAATACACATATGAATATGAGCTAAAAAAGGTTAACCAACCAATGTACAATTTTGTTTTTCAACCTTTTTTTCAGTTTGACACTTGTGTCGTGTCTTGCGTGCCTGCAGAATTAAAACTGGAGAATAATGGAAGGAAAGAGAAGCTGACGGGGTTCAATGTGAAACTAAAAGACACTATTCTCTTTCCAGAGGGTGGAGGACAGGTGAGTGGCAATGGTAAATAAACTTAGCCAGATCTATTGTCTGAATTAGGGTTGCACGATAATTGTAAAATTTGATATTACAATATGGAACTTTTTCTGCTATTATGGCGATATGGATACAGTTTCACAAGATAGATTTTAATAGCACTGTTTTCTGGGGAGCCTAACAGTATTCAGGTACAAGAATTGAATAATAACAATGTAATAAAATGCTTTTCTCACTTTGCTTTGTCTTGTTTCTAGTCCAAATATCTAAAAATGCTTAGATCAAGTAAAAATACTGTTTTGTTTTCAACTTGAGAAGAAATTATTCAGATAGAAGAGTTTTTATTAAAGCAAGCACCAGTTGGGTAAGTAAAATAATCTTGTTTTCACATTAAGACTAGAACCACAACAAAAATTTTGAGTACGATTTTATATATATATATATATATATATATATATATATATATATATATATATATATATATATATATATATATATATATATATATATATATTGTGACTAAATACAATTCTGTAGCTCCTGGTCAACTATAATTCAGACTCAACATTGCAGATCTTGCGATGTGACTATTGCGGGTGTGCACATTGCAATATCGATGCTGAAACGATAAAGTGTGCAGCCCTAGTCTGAATATATTTTTTAATAAATGAGAATTCAGTCGATATTTGCATTTGAAATCAGAGTTATTAGCTCCCCTAAACTATTAGCCCCCCCTGTATATTTTTTCCAGTTTGTGTTTAACAGTGATAAAAAAATTTTTAACACATATTTAAATTCTATTGTTTTAAAAACTAATTTCTAATGACTGATTTCGTTTATCTTTGCCATGATGACAGTACATATTATTTTAATAAATGTTTTTCAAGACACTTCTATACAGCCTAAAGCGATATTTAAAGGCTTAACTGGGTTAATTAGGGTAATTAAGCAAATCATTGTATATCAGTGTTTTGTTCTGTAGCCGATAGAAAAAATGCTTAAGGAGTTTAATAATATTGATTTTAATATCGTTTTTAAAAAAATTAAAAACTGCTTTTATTCTTGCTGAAATAAAACAAACAAAAAAATATTGCAAATACTGTGAAAAACTCATTGCTCTGTTAAACATTGTTTCGGAAATATTTTGAGAAAAAAAAAAAACACAGGAGGGTGAATAATTTTGACTTCAACTGTACATCTTTTTCATTTACAGCCTGATGATCATGGGACAATTGGGGGTGTCCCGGTCCTGCGTGTTTTGAGACAGGGTCCAGACGCAGTGCATTTTGTCAGCTCCGCTCTGGAGGAGGGCCAGGAGGTCCACATTAAACTGGACTGGGAGCGGCGTTTTGACCACATGCAGCAGCATTCAGGTGAGGAATAAATGTGTTTCGGTGAACTATTCATTTAAAGGGTTAGTTCATTTAAAAATTACACTTCTGGCATCATGCACTCACCCTTCACAAGAAGATATTTTGCAAGAATATTAGAAATAATGTTTGTTGTATTGTCTGCAATGAAAGTAAAAGTAAATTTTGAAGTCACTAAAAAATGTGTTTTCCATTCTATTTCAGCTTTTTCTGATTTGGGGTTGTAGCACAAACCATACAGACATTACTTTAAAAAAAAGGGGAAATATGAATTGCATTTAAAGCAAGGGTATAGAAGGAAAGGAGAGAAAAAGGGCACATGAAAAGAAAATCAAAATTCGTGCACAATATTGAACAGAGCACCAACTTTATAAGTTGTAACTGTTTTCTTATTACTAGACCTTCAAATTGTATTCATGTAAAATGGGGTTTACATTTAGTTTATATTTACACAAATATAAAAAAATGGGGTTTGTATTTAATTTATTTACGTTAGTGCATCTGAAAAGTATTCACAGCTCTTCATCTTTTAAACATTTTGTTAAGTTACAGGCCTATTTTAAATGAATATGTTGGATAAATGGACCAAAAAAGGATTTTTCCTCAGTTTTACAAACAATACCACGTAATGAAATGGAAAAAGAAGAGTGTTATTAAGTGTTGTTTGAAATATGCAGATTTATTGTTTAAAAATAAGTTGTGAATACTTATGCACATGTGAATTTAGTTTTACGTTTTTCTTTTTTTAAGGTCAACACTTGATCACAGCATTGGCAGATACAATGTTTGGATACAAAACTACCTCTTGGTAAGAGCTTTGGTAGAATCAGTTCTTAAATAAATGTGATTTTTAACCAACTTGTTGCTATGAAATTAAATAAAAGGATATTATATTATATTATATTATATTATATTATATTATATTATATTATATTATATTATATTAGATTATATTATATTAGATTAGATTAGATTATATTAGATTTTGTTATATTATATTATATTAGATTTTATTATATTATATTATATTATATTATATTATATTATATTATATTATATTATATTATATTATATTAGATTAGATTATATTAGATTTTGTTATATTACATTATATTAGATTTTGTTATATTATGTTATATTATATTATATTATATTATATTATATTATATTATATTATATTATATTAGGCGACGCAGTGGCTAGCATGTTCGCCTCACAGCAAGAAGGTCGCTGGGTCGCTGGTTCGATCCTCGGCTCAGTTGGCGTTTCTGTGTGGAGTTTGCATGTTCTCCCTGCGTTCGCGTGGGTTTCCTCCAGGTACTCAGGTTTCCCCTACAGTCCAAAAACATGCGGTACAGGTGAATTGGATAGCCTAAATTGTACGTAGTGTATGAGTGTGTGTGTGCGTGTGTGTATGTGTGTGTGTGTATGTGTGGATGTTTCCCAGAGATGGGTTGGGGCATCCGCTGCGTAAAAACTTGTTGGATAAGTTGGCGGTTCATTCCGCTGTGGAGACCCCAGATTAATAAAGGGACTAAGCCGACAAGAAAATGAATGAATATATTATATTATATTATATTATATTATATTATATTATATTATATTAGATTAGATTAGATTAGATTTTATTATTTTATTTTATTTTATTTTATGCATATTCTTTAACCATGTGTAAAACCTTAAGGACTGAGAATTTTTGACATGACATAAACATTAGAGTACATTTACATTTAGAGTACATGCACAAATTCCCTGCTTGACATGTTTTATGCACTTTGATTTTCTTTTTTTCTTTTACACTGCACACTTATCAAATCTTGATGTCATCTCAAATAATGATTATTATATCAAATAACCATGATTAGATGCTTGATCAATAATTGTGACAGGGCTGCCTTTTATGAATTGGTGCAGGGATTTGGGCCGTCAGCGCAGCTGCATAGAGCTGGACACAGCCACGGTGAAGCCTGGAGAGATGGAGGCTTTAGAGACGGCTGTTAATGAAAAGATTCGTGCACACGTTCCAGTCACTGTCAACCTCCTGTCCATTGATGATCCTGCTGTGGAGAAGGCATGTGGGCAGTACATTTAAAATGAACTCGAAATCAGCAAAATAATGCAAAATGACTTTATTCTTAATGTAGATTGTGTTAAATTTTGCCTCTATTTACTCACCTTTTAGTTGTTCAAAATCTATTTGAGTTTTCTTTTTTGTTTCTGTTGAGCACAAAAATAGATATTTTGAAAAATGCTGGTTGCTGGCACCCATTCTGTAGTGTTTTTTATTTATTTTACTGTAAAAAGTCCAACAACCAGCATTATTCAAATCATCTTCTTTTGTGTTCAACAAAAGAAAGAAATTCAAATTAATAATTCAAATTATTGATGATGTAAATTTTCGTTTTGGGTTGATCTGTCCCTTTAAATTATTATAATGAGAATAAATAATTTTCTGACTACTTTTTAAAATGTTTTTCACTTTTTTTGGTGTTTATACAACAGATAAAATGCATTTGTTGTATGTAATTCTAACATTATCTTCTTGACAAATTCATAAAATTTATAGCAAAATCTATCAATGACTTAAAGGGATAGTTCACTTAAAAAAGGAAAATCCACTCACCCTTTTATTTCTTTCAAACCATCATGAGTTTCTGTCTTCGTTTAAACACAATAAAAGATTTTTTTTGAAAAATGTCTGAAACCTGTAACCATTGACTTCCATAATACTTGTTTTTCCTACTATGGAAGTCAATGGTTATATGTTTTCAGCTTCTTTAGTGTTCAACAGAAGAAAGAAACTTCTAAAGGTTTAGCACCACTTAAATGAGTGTGAGTAGTAAGTAAATTTTCAATTTTGGGTGAACTAACTTTTTAATGATCGGAAAAAATAAAACATCCTGTACAAATTTAACTTTCACTTAACACATTGTTGACTTTTTTTTTTCACGTATACAGGTAAGAAGTCGTGGTCTTCCAGATGACCATGCTGGACCCATCAGGATCATAGATATTGAAGGTGTAGATGCCAACATGTGCTGTGGAACTCATGTGTCCAACCTCAGTCACCTTCAGGTTAGTCTTTCACTGCCTCCTAAAGAGATAGTTCACCCAAAAATGTAGAAGATTCTGGCATCATTTACTCATTCTAAATGTTCTCATCCTTACTGTTCCAAAACAATATGATTTTCTTTCTTCTGTTGGACACAAAAGAAGTTACTTCGAATAACCTTGAAATCCAATGCTTTTTTTTCCCCTATGGATTTTTTTTTTTAAATGCCACTGGTTACCAACATTCTTCAAAATATCTTTTGTGTTCAACAGAAAAAAATAAACATAAATAAATTCCCATTTGAACTTTATATTGTGGCCTTAACTAATATGTACTTACACAGGAATTAATAGTTTATTACAATGTACTTATTGTGTAAATACATGTATTTACTGTGTACTTATGCTTGATTAAATACATGTATGTAATTACATCTATAATTAACTTATTACATTTGTAAATACACTGTTGGCCATCCCTTACACCTTAATCCACCCTTAAACCTACCCATGCCACCAAACCTGTCCATAACCCAACCTCTATCCCAACTCAAAAGCACCACAAGTGTTCTCAAATACATTATAAACACAGTAAGTACATTGTATTTATTTTTTTATGTAAGTACATAGTAGTTAAGGACATTTAATATAAAGTGGGACCCATAAAAGTTTGGAACCAGCTGCGGATGTGTAAATAGTTGGCAACTTTCACTTTTGTGTGAACTATCCCTTTAATGTCTATTTTTGGTCATATGCCACACTACAGGTATAGTTCAGCCAAAATGTAAAATGCTGTTATCATCTACTCACCTTTTCTTATTTCAAACCATTATAAGTTTCTTTCGTTTGTAAAACAAAAAATAGGTTACTTTAAAAAATGTTGGAAACCTGTAACCATTGACTTCCATAATATTTGTTTTTCCAAATATGGAAGTCATTGGGTACAGGGTTTCATTCATTCATTAATTCATTCATTTTCCTTCAGCTTAGTCACTTTATTCATCAGAGGGTCACTACAGCGGAATGAATCACCGACTTATCCAGCATATGTTTTACATAGCGGATGCCCTTCCAGCTGCAACCCAGTACTGGGAAACATCCATACACTCTCATTCACACACATACACTTCAGCCGATTTAGTTTATCCATAGTGCATTTCTTTGGACTGTGGGGGAAACCAGAGCACCCAGAGGAAACCCATTTGAACACAGCAAAACATGCAAACTCCACACAGAGATTCCAACTGACCCTGCCAGGACTCAAACCAGCGACCTTCTTGCTAACCACTAAGCCACTGTGTCGAATTGGTCTCACACATTCAGGTGAAACAAAAGCTTGAGCTATGGAACATAGGGACATACGAAACGTGTCGCATGACCCTGCATTTCCATTCTGCAGCAATTGCATATGGAGGACCAGGAGTGCCGGTTAGATTTTAAGTGAAGAATCAAATTATCAAATTTATAATTGAAGCAAAAAAAATTCTATAAATAAATCACAATTTGAATGAACAATTAATGGACAAATAAATATTAATACACTTTTTTTATTGTTTGATTAATCGGCGTTTTAAAACATGGTTTAAATAGACATATTATATAATGTTTTATTTATTTGTACATTTAAAAATTATTTCTAAATTAATTGTTTTATTGCTTTATTAAATGGTATTTAAAATCACTATTTAAATAGACACATTTAAATATGCCTATTTATTTGTCCATTAATTGTCCATTTAAATTGTGATTTATTTATACACATTTTAATGCTTTAATTATTAAATTGATGGTTTGATTTTTAATTTTATTTCTAACCGGCACTTCCAGGGCTTCATAATTGCATGCGGACGAATTAAAAAATCAATGGGGCAAAAATTGTTTAAACAATGTAACCATGGCTTTATGCTGAGTTTACTTGAAATTTTAAGAGATTAACTAGCTGTAGATTACTTGTAGGATAATTTCGGTTCGAGTTGAACATACATACATAGGGATTACATACATTACTTTGTATGTAATCTATCTTAAAAGTACTTAAATGTACATTTAGTGTGAACCCAGCATTATTGCTTTATTCAGAGGTTTGTTTAATCTCTCATAAAGATGTTTATCTGCTCCTTAGGTTATAAAAATCTTGGGGACCGAAAAAGGGAAGAAGAATAAAACCAACCTGATTTTCATAGCAGGCAACAGAGTGCTGAAATACGCTGAGAAGAGCTATAACATTGAGAAGTCTCTGACCGTCCTCCTAAAGTGAGTTAAAGAGGACCTATTATGCCCTTTTTTACAAGATGCAAAAAAATCTCTGATGTCCCTAGAGTGTTTATATGAAGTTTCAGTTTAAAAATACCTCACAAATAATTTGTATAACTCTATGAAACTGCCACTTTTATGCTTTGATCCAAATTGTGCTCTTTTGGCGACTGTCGCTTTAAATGCAAATGAGATTGTGCTCTTTTCAAAAGAAGGAGGAGCTACAAATGCCTATGTACCAGCATAGCAGCAGGTTCAAAACAGGACTGACATTGTCTCTGTGAAAACTAATGATGGAGAGCTGCTTGATTATTGTCAATAATCAGGGTGTCCACATGGTCTTAAAAAGTATTAAAAGATGATTAATCAATTATAAGACAATTAAGGCTCTTAAAAGGTAGTAAAAAGCCTTAATCGTGTTTTTTGAGGTCTTAACGAGAGATTCGACAGCGATCTCTGCTGACATCATGGTGGCTATGGGCGGCACATTAACACTGCACCCAGAGGTTATCTGGCCTCTTTACACTAAGGCGAATCGCCACTCACTGTGCACGAACGAAGGCATTTCCGATATTTTCAAGTTGATGTTTCCAGATTCCAACATAGCTAAGACTTTCACCTGTGGCAAGGGCGGAAACTGGAAACAACATTTGATTTGGGCTAGCACCCTACTTTAAGAAGCAGCTTGTTGACACCATCAACAAAGCTGGCGGGTTTGTGTTAATGTTTAACCAGTCTTTTAATCAGTCAACAAAGAAGAAGCAGCTCAACATACATGTTTGTTTTTGGGATGGTAAAAGCAAATGTCTCAGATATTTTAATAAATCTTGCATCTGGTTTAATTTATTCTTTCAAGCTTTGTTTCTTCCCAGCATATCTGAGTTCTGTTGCAAGGTTGTGCTCCATTGATTTATTTAACTGTTTATTAAGAATCCCTGTATGAACAGAGTAGGAGTTTGGATCGCATTGCCTGCAGTAAGTCAAACTTGTTTCCGGTGCAATTCTGTTCATAATTTTTATAGACAGAATTTCAAAGTTCAGCCTTGGGCTGGAGGGGATCTAGTTCAGGGACCACAGGACTTAATCTCTGTTATTAGCAGATGATGTTGTTCTGTTGGCTACATCAAACATGGACCTTCAGCTTGCACTGGGGCGGTTTGCTGCCTAATGTGACGCGGCTGGGATGAGAATCAGCCCCTCCAAGTCCAAGGCCATGGTGCTCCACCGGAAAAAGGTGGTTTGCCATCTCCAGGTTAAAGGAGAGTCCTTACCCAAGGTGGAGGAGTTTAAGTATCTCGGGGTTTTGTTCACGAGTGAGGGAAGGATAGAACGTGAGATTGACAGGCGGATTGGTGCAGCTGTAATGCGGTCGATATACTGGTCCATTGTGGTAAAGATGGAGCTGAGCCAAAAGACAAAGCTCTCGATTTACCGGTCACTCTACGTTCCTACTCTCACCTATGATCATTAGCTTTGGTTCATGACCGAAAGGACAAGATCTCCAATACAAGCCGCCAAATCGAGTTTCCTTCACAGGGTGGCAGGGCGCACCCTCATAGATAGGGTGAGAAGCTCTGTCACGCAAGAGGAGCTCGGAGTAGAGCTGCTGCTCCTCCACATTGAGAGAAGTCAGCTGAGGTGGCTCGGGCATCTGTTTCGGATGTCTCCAGGACGCCTACCTAGGGAAGTGTTCCAGGCATGTCCCACCGGGAGGAGGCCTCAGGGAAGACCCAGGACAAGCTGGAGGAACTATGTCTCTCAGCTGGCCTGGCAACGCCTCGGGATCCCCCCCTCCGGAGGATCTGGAGGAAGTGCCTGGGTAGAGGGAAGTCTTGGGTTCTCTCCCGGCCCGGCTCCGGAAAAGTGGTTAAAAATGAATGTTTATTTACAACTGTTTATTGAATTAAAGGTTTGATACAGATTAGAACAACCCGGGCTCATTGTGGAAACGTAGCCCCGCGGACGTTTCTGCGGACCGCGATTTACGTCCCGGGAGGTACGTATTCGAGCGTTTTTTTGTTTTCGCGGATCCCTCCATTCTCGCGCGAAAAGCCGCCGGATCGGAAAAAAAAGATAAAAAAGCAAAAGCCCTCGTCTTCAATTTCGACCGCGTTTTCGGATCCCGCCGCGTTCTCACCCTTATTTTTCGAATTCCGTTTTTCGTCTCACCTGATTTCCGGAACCTGATCCCGGTCGTCGTCCACCGCAGCCGGCTCCGGCTCCTCCTCCTCCTCCTCGTCCGGGGCCTCCGCTCCGCCGACAAAACGCTGTGAGCTAGGCGGACAAACTGATTGCGTCGGGAAAGCCCTCCACTCGGAGGCGAGACGTCGGCCGAGTGCGAAGAGGAGGGGCGGAGCGGCGCCACACCGCCCCGCGGCGTTCGCTCGAAAAAAAACAAACGCGGCCTTTACGTACCTCCGGCCACGTAAATCGCGGTCTCCAGAAACGTCCGCGGGGCTACGTTTCCAGAATGAGCTTGGGTTGGATTAGAACTTGTGGAGATGAGGTCTTAAAATATTCTAAGAAGGTCTTAATAAAGTTATTAAAATTAGGATTCCTGCAAATACCCTGATAATGGGTGGGGCTTTCCCCCTCCAATGACATGTACAAAGGGAAAATGTCAATCTAAGTGTTTCTTTTTATAAAGTGTTATTATAAAAAATATAATTACTTTTCACCATTAGAAGCTGGCTATAATCAAACACTGGTGCCACACAACTGTGTTTAAACCCCTTTTTTAGGACCGGAGCAGATGAGCACGTGGATGCGGTGGACAAGCTCCAGAAGACAGTCAAGCGTCTTCAAAAGGTAAGCCACTGTATAACCTACTATCTGTAAACAGGGATTAATCTTTCACTTCAGTAATTATTAACCATTACCTTTTCCCCTGTAACAGAGTAATCTAACTATCCTGAGGGAAATGGCAGTTTTGATCGCACAGAACTTCAAAAGCAAACCAGACCGAGGACATTTCTTCAGCTTACACAAGTGCGTGCTGAGTCCTTTTTATAATTAAGTAAATACAAGTAAAGGATGAACAAATGATGGCACAGTTTTCAGTGTTGGGTCAACCCTTTAATAAGAAACTATTTGAATAATATGTTTATTAAAAATTTGTCATTAGTCAACTATACTTTGAAATATGTGCTTGACACAGAAATATCAGTCGTCATGTATTAAAGGGACAATATGTACGATTTTTTCATTCAAATATCCAAAAGCCACTACAGCAGTGTTATAATTTTTTGAGGATTTCTGTACTTGCATTACCCCAACTGTAGCGAAGAATGTTAAAATCCAGAGAAATTAGCATTTTTGACTAATGATATGCGTGTGCATGCTAATGGTGTCACACACCCTTAATTTCTGGTTTGGATATGTAGAAAACAGGGAAACAGACACTTTAATATGTTGTGGGTTTTATTAGACTGCACAGAGCAAGTCTAAATGTATTTATTTTGATATAACAGCTCTGCTTTTTCTTCTTGTCATTGCAAATTTTTTATTGTCGCGATGGTAGTACATGCAATATATGTTTTTTTGTATGCCAGTCATTTGTGCGTTGCATGCAATGGTTATTTTAAATTTGACCAATCAGATGGGGCCTTACTGTCTTTATCCCCACCTTCCCAGTAGTTGCTGTTCTGCTATTGGCTGGAGCGGCCCAAAAGTGAAACATAATTTTTTTTTACTAGAAATATGTAAATCTAAAAATATCTAATTATCGCAATACTGAATAACTATATAGAATAGCACATATTTTCCCAGTATCATGCAGCTCTAATATAAATTGCTGAACACTTCATCAACATGATGTCCCCTAGGACAGGGATTCTCAGCCAGTGGGCAGTAAGATAGCTTAAAATTAATTCTCAGTATTATACTATAATTTTTGGATTTTATTAATAATATGCTACAATTAAAATGATCGATGTTATGCACTTTTTCCTGTTCTCTGATTGATTTCTTCAAACTCAGTGCAAATCATGTTCACGTCTGCAACTATACATGTAAGTTTTATATATAATTTCTGTAATAATTTATTTAGTTAATATTTTTTCCCAATTTCTGTTTAACAAAGTTTTTTTCAACACATTTCTAAACATAATAGTTTTAATAACTCATCTCTAATAACTGATTTATTTGATCTTGCCCTGATGTCAGCAAATAATATTTGACTAGATATTTTATTTTACAAGACACTTCTATACAGCCTAAAGTGACATTTAAAGGCTTAACTAGGTTAATTAGGTAAACTAGGCAGGTTAGGGTAATTAGGCAAGTTATTGTATAACGATGGTTTGTTCGGTAGAGTAGAGAAATGTAGCTTAAAGGGGCTAATAATATTGACCTTAAAGTGGGTTTTTAAAAATTAATAACTGCTTTTATTCTAGCTTAAATAAAACAAATAAGACTTTCTCCAGAAGAAAAAATATTATCAGACATACTGTGAAAATGTACTTGCTGTGTTAAACATAATTTTGGAAAATATATATATAAAAAGAAAAAAAATCAAAGGGGTGCTAATAATTCTAATATCAACTGTATATTGTATATATATATATATATATATATATATATATATATATAGATATATATATATATATATATATATATATATATATATATATATATATAGGTGGGCTCCAATTGCGGTGTCATAAAAATCACCTACAGTCATGAAGATCAACGTGTCCTGCATCCAATACATCCATATGTAACTGTTGCAGGTGTAATTGTTTAGTTCATTCATGTTTTTTTGTTAGTTTTTTTTGTCTGTTAAGATGTGTGCGGGAATTAATAACATTACTATTTACTGCTGTGTGCAAAACCGCAAAACTACACCATGTTCAAGCCCTATTGTTATTATTATTATTATTATTGTGGGAGAATAATGATTACTGTTGTCAACAAGACTAGATTCTCAGTTTAACCAGAATCTAGCAGCTCTACAAAAGAGTAACTTTCCTTTCTGGTGATGTTTTCACAGCAAAGATGGTGATAATGAATTCATGAACATCGTTGCAAATGAAATTGGATTTCAGGTGGGCCACCAATTTAATTCATTGATTTGACAACGTCCAGTGTTTCAGTATAATATCCACAGAATGCCAATATTTATGCTTTTGTATTAATTACTGTGTTTGGGCAGGACACGTTGATCTTCATGACTGTAGGTGATGAGAAGGGTGCAGGGCTGTTTCTCATCGCTGGACCTGAGAATATTGTCACTGAAGTTGGACCTCGGTAAGACCAGCTTTTACCCCAGTAAACTTTGAGTGCTGTAAGGGATATTTTCATCCACTCTGGGGTGATTTTGAGACTTAATTTGGCCACAGCTTTCTCTGTGTTTCAGCAAATGCAATGCTTTTTGATGACAAATCTTATTTTGACACACATTTTGAGAAATTGCTTTGAAATGTAAAAAAAAATTCAACAATACACTCTGGGCAAATTACCTACCCTTTCTTTATGTTCGTGTCTGAGAAAATCAAAATAAGCAGCTCAGTTCTCAGAACACTGTAAATATAGTAAGTGTATTAATGCACGCACACTATTATCTGCTGTTTACTCCAACTCCATATAAATGCCAGAAGCATTTGTTGCACAGGCCTATCTAAAGGCTTAAAGCTGCCATCTGATGATTAACAGTAAAAATGACACATTTAACTTTTTCCCAACATGGAAAACCACCAACTATCAAGTATGCATGATTATATGCTGTTGTTTGCAATCAAAAAATGTCATTATAATGGAAGTCAATGGGGCAAAAATAGTCCTGAACATAATGAATGGGAAGTCAATTTGAACAGTACACAAGGGTTAATCCCAAGATGAAATGATCAGAGGATGTAAATGTTTTGAAATGGAACACTTATCAACATTTTTTAGCTTCACGCTAAGGAATCATATAGGAGTCGCTGGGATAATTAGGTAAAAATGTGTTTTTGACCTTGCAAAAACAAAAACATAACCCTTTTTATGCATAATAGTGGCTCTTTAATATTTCTAATATTTCTGTACTCTATGCAGCACTGTGCCAGTTTGGAAAATAATACTGTTTCAGATCAAATTCTGTTACATATTGTTTTCCTCAGGTTTCCGTGCTGAATAATGGATAGTAATAAGCAGTAGTGTTATTAGTCCAGTATGTGTCACTCATCTGAAACTGCTCTGTTTGTGTCTGGTGTGCAGGGTTTCAGAGCTGCTGCAGGGCAAAGGAGCTGGAAAAGCTGGACGATACCAGGGTAAAGCCAACAGTCTGGTGAAGAGAGCAGAGGTTGAGGCTTTACTGAAGGAGCGGAGCTATAAATGCACTGCAGGAGAAGAATAAAACAGACAGGTGTGCAGTCATGATGATCCAGACTCTGTCTACAACAAAGATGATTGTTTTGACTCAGATGAACAGTCTACACTGGAAGTGCACAAGGAATCAAAACACATCATCATGCATATTACATTTTTATTTTAGATGCATTGATATCCCAATGTGCAGATCGCAGGGCGTGCATTGTGGAGTCAGGGTTATAGTTGATCAACAGTTCAGAGAGAATTGTGGAGTCATTTCAGTTAAACCATAATAAACGAAAGGATATCAATTGCATGTTGTGACTGTAAGCATTTTAAGTAAGTTTAAAGCATTTAGGAGAAAATAATTATCACGTTTAACAAAGATTAATTACATACTTTTTATACAATGAAGACTATCATGGTTTATTGTACATTTGATTTTTATATTTCTGTACTTGAATACTGTTAGACTCTTTCATTTGAATTGATGCACTACTGCGGGAGTGGCCAACCCTGTTTCTGGAGAGCCACCTTCCTGCAGATTTCAGTTGCTACCCATATCAAACACACCTGAACCAATTAATTAGGACCTGAATACCACGTGATAATTACAGACGAGTGTGTTTGATATGGGTTGCAAATCTGCAGGAAGGTGGCTCTCCATGAACAGGGTTGGCCACCCCTGCTCTACTGTGTGTTTACCTATAGTAGTATAAGTAGTTTATATATATATATATGTGTGTGTGTGTATGTATGTGTGTGTATATATGTGTATGTATGTATGTGTATGTATGTATATATATAAATATAAAAAATTACCAGCATAAGTAAACACACAGTAGAGCAGGGGTGGCCAACCCTGTTCCTGGAGAGCCACCTTCCTGCAGATTTCAGTTTTTTTTGTTTTTTTTTATGCAGATGCAGTCTACAAAATCATCCCAATAAATATATAAATGTATTCGTTTTGTTTGCCAAATAGAGCTATTTAAGTTATCTGTTGAGGTGGCTCAGTGGTTAGCACTATCGCCACACGCAAGAAGGTCGCTGGTTCAAGCCTCGGCTGGTCAGTTGACGTTTCTGTGTGGAGTTTGCATGTTCTCCCCGCGTTAGCGTGGATTTCCTTCGGGTGCTCCAGTTTCCCCCACAGTCCAAAGACATGCGCTATAAGTGAATTGGGTATGCTAAATTGTTCATAGTGTATGAGTGTGTATGGATGTTTCCCAGAGATGGGTTGCAGCTGGAATAGCATCTGCTGTGTAAAACATGAGCTGGATAAGTTGGTGGTTCACTCCACTGTGGCAACCCCGGATTAATTAAGGGAATAAGCTGACAAGAAAATTAATATGAAGAAAATGAATGAACAAAAACTCTGGACAACATGTTATTTTCAGCTTTTTATTAAAAATGACCTAAAGAATTTTTCCAAAAAATAGTTTATATTACAGAAAATGCATCCAAAAAAAAAAAAAAAAAACTAAAGTACACATCTTAGGGAGGGCAAAACCTGTCCTCCTATATATAAGTTCACCATTTCAGTTCTCAAAAAAGAACCTAACACTTCTTCCATTAAAAGCCAGACCTTTTCATGCAGATCCAAAGGCACTAATATATAAAAACGCTAAAACAACACATGCAATAACAGTGCATAATTTAAACTCTAGTTTATCAGCATCCCGTAGTTATAAAACACAGTGTTCCTTCGACTAATGCACTGCAAAAAAATTGCTTTTGTCTCATTTATAGTCCAAAAATCTAAAGATTCTTAAATCAAAAAGCATTTTCTAGACAAGCTAAACATATTGTCTTGTTTTCAGTAAAAATATGTCAAAATTATTTGAGTTTTTCCTTTAAACAAGCAAAATAATCTGCCAATTGTGTAAGCAACATGATCTTATGTCAAAAGGAAAAACAAGATTATTTAGCTTATCCCATTGGTTGATTATTTTTGCTTCACTGTAAAACCCAACAGTCTTTATCAAATGAAATGAGTGTAGTTAACTCAAAATGTACTGAAAGTTAATTCTACTAATTTAAAGAGACTTTTGAACTCAGTGTTGAAGGTAATGAGTTAGTTTAATACCTCAGTACCTCAACTTAAATGGAGTAAGTTCACAGTACTCATATAGATTATTTTTTTTAACTCAAATGGTTTGTAGCAATCAGTTTCCTCAAACGGTTTGAGTTTTTCTTAAATTATTGGGCTTTACAGTAATCAGTTGGTTTGAGTTCTCTTTATCTATTGGGTTTTACTGTGCTCAAATTGCTTCGTTTACTCAAATGGATTAAGTTCAAAGTACTCATTAGGAGTAGTTTTTGAACTTAAATGGTTTGTTACAATTGGTTTCCTCAAATAGTTTGAGTTACCTTAACTTTTTGGGTTTTACAGTGTTGTTTTAAGGGAAAAACTTGCTTAATTTTGCCATATTATTTCTAAAAACAAGACACTTTTATCTGCTTGTCTGGAAAATCTTCCTTGATTTAATAATTTTTAGATATTTGGTCTAGAAACAAGACATTTTTGCAGCATTATTTGCAGTGCGGGATGCACTATTGAACTAGTGAACTTTCCTTACAGTCTTAATACAGTTCATTTCAAGCCTAAAGCTGTTTTTTGCTCTGTAACCCGAGGGCTCCGGATAAGCAGTACGGGATGATGCTGACCGTGACGAGGGGAACGGTGGCACTTTTGCAGAAGGACAGGAGGTAGAAGAGAGCAGCCGTGTGCGTTGGTGGTTTGATGGAGTCAAAGAGATGCAGCAGGAGCAGAGATGCGATAATACAGGTGATCCTGACAAAAGCGTTGCTGCTTTTCTTGCTCTCTGTGTACAGCGGTGAATGAAGACCGAGCCCCAGACCGAACAGGGTGCCCATGTTCCTCAGCAGACTTGCGAACGGTGTGGTGTCCAAATGAACCCAGGCTGGGTTGGCGCACCATTTCTGGGCTTTCTCAAGAGTCCAGAGCAGATCCACACCGAGAGCCTTCAGGAGGACGTACAAACCCACAGCGAACGAGAGCAGGAAGAGCGTGACGTTGAAGTAATTCTTTAGACTCGCACTGTAGATCCATTTCTGCCTGTTGAAAGCCTCGGCAACAATCATGCCTGTAGAAAACAACAATAAATCATGTATTTTACTACCTTAAAACATCCTTGAGTAGCTCAATAAATAGATTGTTCAACAGAATTTTTTACATTTTATAAATGCTTGCAACTCTTACAAAAAAGGATCTTATTTTATTTGCATTTAAGCATTTAGCAGATGCTTTTGTCCAAAGCGACTTGCAATTAAAGAGGCATTCAGTGATTCAATAAGAAGAGGCAACACACGCAAGAAGTGGAAAGTATGCAGAGGAATGTTCAGTGTTATTTTTTATATAGAGAGAGAAGAGTGTTTCTACAGGTGGTTTGTCAAGCCCACTCACCTGTGTGAGGCACACTTCTTAAATGCACAATGCTTAATTTTTGTTGCTTTTATTTTAGAGACATTAAGTGATCTTAAGAAAGTGTCTTGTGCAAAATGTGTCAGTTAAGGTGGCATTTATCGGCTTTGATCGTTTCATGAAGAGCTTTTTAACATCATAAGAATCTTTTTATACTGAAAAATGTTCTTTAGATTATAGGGTATATGCATGGCTTGTGTTTTTTTCCTTATTGATGAACTTCCGGTGAACGGTTAATGTGACTTTTTTCGATTTATTTTTTTTTTTTTACAATTCCTTTTACAGCATTGATGTTGTAATGTAGTTAAAATAGAATTAGTTAAATAGACTTAATCATTTATTTAGTTGTTTAAGTGTAAAATGAGACGAAATGCCGTTTACTCGCATGCACCCATCAGAATCAGCAGGCTAGCACAGAAACTCCATTGAAATTACTGAAGTAAAATACATTTTTATATTTTAAAGACATGACTTGGATAATGGGATTTAATGCAGTGCTACTTGAACATTCTAAGACCCACTTTATGTTATAATATACAATTTTATATTGTATATAAAGAAAACAGACCTTAAATGCTGTGATTATTATTATTTTTTTGTTACAGCATACAGTTTACAGGAAGCACTTTAACTGGGTTACTGAAAACTAAAAGTTAAAATAAAAAGTAAAAAAGTTTATTTTAAGTTTTTTTGGACAACAAAAATAAGGATATTGTGTGGTCTTCACATATTGTCATCTTTACTTTTGAAAGTATTGACGGAGTTTTTACCAATTTAGGTAAGCTAGACGTTCTACATAATATAGAAACGGGTTATATGCTATTAAAAATGGTTTAAATACACTCAAAGAATCACTTTTGCTGCTTGTTTAAACTACTTATATATGAGCTGAACCAACACAGTTCTTGAGGGTTTTTTGGCACAACTTAATAGTTTTATGTTCGATCCACCTACATTTGCTAAAGCAATTAAGGTAACCTTATCGATTTATATTGGGAGAAAATTAAGTAATTCTGTGGACCCCATGATTTTTTTTACAGTGTAGTTACATTTTTAATAAAAATGTTTATGTTTTCCCTGCTGACAAATCCAGCTAAAACCAGCCAACCAGCCTAGGCTGGTTTAAGCTGGATTTTTCCAAACCAGCCTGGTTTTAGAGGGGTTTTGGCCATTTCCAGGCTGGTTTCCAGCCATTTCCAGCCTGGTCTTAGCTGGTCAGGGTCAAATGACAAGCTAAAATCAGCTAGGTCGACCAACTAAAACCTAAAACCTAGGCTGGTTTAAGCTGGTTTTTTCAAGAAGTAATCTATTTTCACTTATGTACAGCCAGTAGTATTATTGCAACCATTTATATTACAACCATTATAACCATTTTCTGTTGTAATGTATTTAAAAAATTTATTTATTCCTGATTTTTCCAACAGCTATTACTGGTCATGGGTTCAATTTCCATTGATGCCCTATTCTGTCACAAACATCTTTTTACATGCAGTGAAAAACTTCAGTTTCATCTAAAAATGCTTACCTGAAATGACACCAGCGAAAACTTGATGTGGGAAATGAGCGGCGATGAAGACCCGAGAGAGACAAACACAGATCTGGACCGTCCAGAAGAGTGTCCAAAGTGAGCCACGCAAGTATCTGAGAAGAAAACAAACAGTATGAATGCATTGCACAAAGCCACTAATTTGAAACCAAAGCTCCAGGTGATGTCAAATGACTTTATTGTATGATAGGGATTGACTTACAGGCTATTGGATGTTGATTTCTTCCCTTTGCTAAGCATTATGGCGAGGATGGAGGTGACCAGTGTGTAGTAAACACCAGCAGCACCCATAGCATGACCTGATGGGCTACCTGTATCAAGAAGA